ATACCTTCTCACTTCTGCATCAGATTCATTCAGTCTCAGCAGGTTGTTGGTTGTTTGTAGTTACATCCGTTGAACACTCTAGTTCTAACCAGTCAAATATGACTTGAACTTTCAGCAGCATCATTGTCACCCGTCTGAGGTGGATCATTCTTAATCTGGAGAATGTTCTGAACGTCTGGAGGATTTTGAATTACTTTGGCATGTGTAGCATCATCATCATCACTTGGATGTATAGGTTTTTTCTCCAAAATAACATAATCAAATATCACATTCACGGATTCCATCACCTTCTTGGTTCGATTTTTGTAAACTCTGTAAGCTATTGAATTCAGAGGGTATCCCAAGAGTATACCTTCATCTGATCGAGTGTCAACCTTATGTAGCTGATCCCTGTCCTTCATGATGTAACACTTACACCTGAATGTATGAAAGTAAACATTTGGTTTATTCCCAATCCATATTTCATATGGTGTCTTCTCTGTATGAGGTGTGAGGTAAATTCGATTGATCACATAACCAGCTGTATTAATAGCTTCAACCCACAGATGTTTAGCAACTCCCTTGGCATGCATAATCGACCTAGCCATCTTTTGTAAGGTTCGATTCTTTCTCTCCACCACTCCATTTTGTTGTGAGTCTTCCGTACCCAATCCATTGCAAAATACAGCAAATCTCTGATTTTCGAACTCTTTTCCGTAATCAGTCCTCGGCCTATCAATCTTCGATTTCTTCTTATTCATGAGCCTTATACTCAATTTTTCAAAAGCATCAAATGCATTACTCTTTTCACGCAAGAAATCAACCCAAGTATATCTAGAAAAGTCATCAACATAGACCAAAATATACTTCTTACAACCAAGGCTACAGAAATCAACTGGACCCATGAGATCCATATACAACAGTTCCGGACAATAGTTTCTAACACGTTGTTCTAACGACTAATACACAACCCTCTTCTTCCGTTTCCGTCTTGCACAGTCACCACACGTAGTACGGGCATTTTCAAAAATTTGGATAATCCTCTGATAGCTCCAATTTTGTTGATCCTCAGCATGTTCTACCGATTAACATGACCCAATCTGGTGTGCTATAGTATAGCTCATCATCTTTCAGGATGAAGGCTTCCATTCTAGGATACTCCAGTAGGTAGCAGTTGTTCTTTGATCAAACACCGATCATCAGTAGAGGCTGCGGGTTTCCACGTTATAAAAAAAAAAACCACCGGTCGTCACACATTTTTGTCCAACATCATATACTTCACATGAATTTTTGTGAACTTCACATGCAAGTCATCGTGACAGAGTTGACTAATACTGATCAAGTTTGTGCTAAGTCCCTCAACATAATAGACTTTCGAAAATCTTGGAATCCTTTTTTTTTTCTCAATAACGCTATATCCACTGATCTTCCTTTTTGCACCATCACAAAAGATAACATTTCCACTTCGGTCTTCAACAAAATTCTTCAGAAGTCTCTTTTGATTCGTCATGTGTTGAGAGCATCCACTATCAAAATACCATCTATCTGCTCGGTAAACTCTTGACTCGACAAGATCATATTGCATTCCAACCGTTTCTGATTTTCCTTAGTCATCCACACCAATTTGACTTTGATGTTCTATTTCAGCCCTTCAGTAGGCCACTGAATGTGCCTTCCATTGATAACATCATTTGCCAACTTGAAACATTTAGGCCGAATTAAATGGTTACATGCAGTATTTGCGGTCAGTAGATCATGATAACATCGACCTATCATTATCAGATCTTATGCGGTTTCTGTTCCAATTCTGCTCTTCTTTGAGTTTTGTTTCTTAGCAGATGATTTCATCTCTGGAAGTTTGACATCAGTTAACAAACCACCACAGACAAAAGTAGTTGGTTTATTTTGAGAGGATTCACAAAAACTCAATCCTTTGCGATCACCAAAAGGTTTACCAATTGAAATAACCTCATCCAATTTCTCATTTCCCTTCCGAAGTCTATCATTTTCATCTTTTAACTTCAAATTCTCAAACTTTAACTTCTCTGATTCAACAAGTTTTTCATAAACAATCTTCCTCAACTTTTCAAGTTCATCATCAAGCTTCTCTTTTTGATCTTCCAACCGATATATCGTGTCCAACAACTCTTTATTTTTCACCACAACTTTCTTCTGTTCGGTCTCCATCTCCTCAAAAACTTCAATTAACTTGTCAGCATCAAGTTCCCTTGACTCCTTAGCAATTTTAGAACTAGAACCCTCCTTTTCTTTATTGGTTTCATTAACACTTGCCATAAATGCCACCACTTCATCATTATGTGTCTGTTCTTCCCTATCAGCAGATGCACCATCTTCATTGTCACTCCATGTGGCTTGGTAAGTTCTCTTTTCCCTTTTCTTTACGGCTAGGCACTCATATTTTATATGTCTAATGCCACCATATCCATAGCAGGTAGGCTCTAGAAACCGTCTCAGGTTTTGCAGACACCACAAACTTCTTCTTGAATCCACCGTCAAATTTTTCTTTCGGCTTGCTGTAAGTAGTTGGTTTCTGCACAGGGTATTTTCATTGTAAATTGGATGTATTCACTCCGTTGTAACCACTTCTGTTCTGTTCCGGAAATTCCTATACTTCAGCTTGGCTGCTTGTTTCTCACTTATTATTCTTGAAAGTTTTCGACTCAACAGAGCCATTTCCTTATGAGATTCGATTAGCTCTATGTCTTCAGCACTCAACGCCATTGTTTTAGGAGTTTCATCTTCAAGATAGTTCATTTCATAACTCATCAATGCACCGTATAGGTCATCCAAAGTAATATTCTTCAGCTTTGGGCGCTCATCGAGCATAATAACCTTTTGTTTTTAAGTTCTTGGTAAGTGTCCTTAACAGTTTTCTAACCCGTCTTCCCTCTTCAATGTGCAATCCCAGTGCTTCAGCTTGATGGACAATGTCCTTAAATCGATTGTAATATTCTGCCCTCTCATCTTTATTCTTTTTAATCCTTTCAAATATTGTTTCAACACACTCCAGTTTCGACTCTTTGACTTGAACCGAACCTTCAAATGCATTTTTCAGAATTTCCCAAGCTTCCTTAGCAATCTTGCAATTGGATATCAGTTTCGATTGAGTTTCATCCACAACATTGAAAATCTAATGGCTTTTGAGTTAGCAATTCCAGGAGCTTTCTCATTCAAAGTCGATTCTCTCTTCGGTTTTTTCACAGGCAACACCATCTTCATCTAGAATGATTTTCATGGGGTGAGACCAAGCAAACTCAACAACATCTTAAACATATTCTCCCTAGACATCAGAAAAACTTCTATTTTATTTTTCCAGCTTCGATAATTTGTTTCATCAAACAATGGAGGACGTGAGGTCGAACAACCTTCCTTACTCATCTTATTGTGAAAAGATCTACTCAACAACCCAGAGAACACTGCTCTGATACAAAATGTTAGGGAATAGGTGCTGCACCAAAAGTCCTTCGAATACCTAAACAATGGTTAACTCCCGAAGCATAGTTATATCAAAGTTATAACACCCTACTGGTAACCGTATGCATGCAGAAATATAAAGTAGTAAATGAGACAAGGGTTTGTTAACCCGGTTTGGTTATAAACAAACCTACATCCGAGGGATATCAATCCAAGAATAGTTCTACTAATCAAAGTGTTGATTAAGAACAAAGATAAACCACAACTCCTTCAACCCATATCTCTACAATGGTTATCTTGAAAAACTTCTCCACTGGCTTAAGTTGTCACAAGTTTGTACGGACAATTACCACATAGCATGGCTGCTCAAAATCTAGACATCTCTCCCGAACGGAACTCCAATAACTCCTTTCTCCGTCGAACTCTCCGGCCGGTAAAATTGATAAAACACTTACTCAGAACATGAAGAATAGAAGGGACAGAGTTAAAAGCATGAACAACACTTTTTCTCTCTAAACTAAACTCGCAAAACCCTGCTACAAACTAGACTCACACCTCATGGCTTACAAAGCAACAGTCATGCAGGGCATGCAAAACAAACACAATTAAAATTTCTTGCACATAAATGGAATGGTGTGTCTCTGCATATAATCTGAAACTATGTTGACCACCCAGAACATTCATTCCTTTTGTCTTATGTGCCCACCAACCGAGAGAGAGAAAGACAAACAAGGTTGTTATCATCCTGTTGTAGCAACCAGATGAGATACTCTGCTCCAAAAATGGAAATCTGAGAAAGACAGTAGCAAGAAAGAACAAAAGTGTCCATATGCCAAAATAGATAAGGGGATTTCATGTTCTAACAGATATAAATATATATATCTATATATATTATAGTGTATATTTTGGTAGGGATGCAAATCAGCAACTTTAAAATTGGAATTTTGAATTGTTAAATTTCAGACTCAATTTAATTTATATTAAGTAGTTCCACATTAGATTTTGCTTTTCATTTGAATTGTGTTGGGTTTGGTGTTTTGAGTTTGAATATTAATTTAAATAATGGCTGGATGTGATAATATCCTTACATAGAACAGAGAATTTTTAGTGTTCTTATAAATTCATTGAGTCCACAACATTAAAAGAAAAAAAAAAAAAAAAAACAAGAAAGGATGAGGATTAATCATGAGCAGGGCTTCTAAGTTTAGATTGGATAGATTAAGCTTTTTAAATATTTGAATTTCGCACTTCTAATACTGGACTTGGACTTTAATTTTTTTGAATTTATTGGATCATATTAATGAGTTTGAATATATTGCATGATTTTGAATTTGAAATGGAACTTCCAATATAAAAATTCCTAAAACTGAACTTATTCGACGTTTGAGGAATTCTAAGTTATAAATTTCTAATTCTAATTCTTAGAATTTGAATTTAGTCCATAATGTAAAAATCTTGAATTTTCACACCCTTATACATATATGTATGTTGGATTTTTGGATGTCTCTGAAGTTTCCTTGGTCATCTGACATTTTTTCCTGGGTCCTTCTAATTCAAAATTTTGATGTGGTGGATATGACAAGTAGAGTTACCTTTGCCAAGTACTTGTGCTGGCGTTCTGCAGTGTTCCACTATCCTGAGTTCATTTTTTGAAAGGTCACTTTGGCGGGACTCCGCTGCATCATGCTGCAAGAATGGGTAATGAGCATACTGTCAAGCTGCTGCTTCGACATGGAGGTGTGTGTTTGCATCTGCAATCCGAGAAATGATGATCCTTCCACATCCCAAATAATTCACGTATAATATTTTCTCTTGTATATTTCAGCAAATGCATTAGTAATGAACGATGATTTTCAAACACCTCTAGACATTGCTAGAGCCAAAGGCTATGGTAGTATTGTCCGAGCAATTGAGGTATTGTGCAATGACTTCTTGTTCATGTAGTTTACCTTCTTATTGACCTGTTATCCGAAACTTCAAAATACATTTCTTTGTTTGGTTCTCAGGGAAATGTGTGCTTATTTTCTGGGTGGCTGAGAGAAATTTATGGGCCAGGATTTGTTGAACTTCTGGCTCCTCACTTGTTGTCAAGAAGGGTGTGAGTGCAATGCCGATGTTACTATTTTGAAATAATAATCTTTTCATACTTTCATGGATTGTTTATTTCATCTGAATTCTACCAAATGATATATCTTCATCATTGATGCAGATGGGCCGTTGTTTTGCCATGTGGTTCTCGGAAGCTTCGGAAACCTTTCAGGTTGGAGCTTGCAATGTATTCAGATGTACAGGTGCCTCTAACATACAAATACTGATTTTTCGAGGAATCTTTTAATGCTACAGAAATATGTGCTAATAGTGCACTACTTCATCGTATTGTACATCTCCTTGTTTCGATTTTTGATTTAACCAAAATGGATCGTGTTCATGGAAAACCTGCATTCTTTGTGTAGGATGCCCAACCACGCACGATTGTTCCATTATGGAAGGCCAATCTAGAAGAACCAAATTTTAACCAGCCTGATCTGGAGGTTATCATATCAGATATTTCAAGAAGTATGAAACTAAGTTTAGCCTCTCTCCATTGTCATCAGCTATTTTTAATAATAGAGATATGATCATGTGTTATTTTTATGCACAGTACCGAGGCGCTGGAAGAGGAGACGGGCCATAAGATCTTCCCAAGAGTCCAGAAGTAAGTGTATCTTAAATTTCAAACTCCCGAAAACTAAATGGTAATTTTTTTTGTCTTATAAACTTGTTTTCGGTATCATAGGTACACACATTAAATTTGTACCTGTGCAAGGAAGCGAGACACTGCAATTGCAACGTTTCTCGAATGCCTGTAAAGGAATTCCACAGGTGAAAAATAGTTGCTTAGTTGCAATTATATGCACATATTGTAAGAAGTTAAACAAATATATCATAACTCTTTCTTTGTGAAAACCTTCGTTCTTTCAATATTTGTACATGTTGTCAATCGGCAAGAAATTAAGTTGTCTACTCTGTCTAATTATTGTTTACTGTTATTCGAAAAACAGGCGGTGCAACCATCATTTCCATCCGACTTTCCTGTCCCTACTGCTCCTGCAAACGCGCCATCAGCTCCCAATGATGACTCACATCCATCCGCCTTACACGAAAGATCCCCAACACATATGGATGCATCAACAAGTTTAGCCTACTCGACAAATAATTGTTGTCGTAAAGAGACCTTCATCAGTGGCGCCTTTAATACCCACACACCAAATGGAAGCGTAGTCGAGTCTCAGATATCCAGTCCATCTAACAATCCACCTCAACCCTTCCAAATCCCTTCGGCCATCCGAACACCTCGCGAAAATCCTTGTCAGGTCTTCGCTCCATCAGCTCCTCCTGCAAAAGGAAACGGCACGGTTCAGTATCCATCAATCGACACAAGTGTGGTTGACATATCCTCTCCTCCAGTGGAAGCAATCCCCGATTGTGCACAAGACAAGAAAGATGATAGTGCAGCCTCGTCTTGCACGATCTGCCTGGATGCTCCCATTGAAGGAGCTTGCATCCCGTGTGGCCACATGGTTGGATGCATGATGTGCTTGACCGAAATCCACGACAAGAAATGGGGCTGCCCGGTCTGCCGTGCTCCTATCGATCGCGTGGTTCGGATATATTCGGGTTAGTAATGCTGGTAAGAGAGCTGATTCCCATTAAGCTTTCTTGATATCTGCTTGGTCCTGTTGTGTTGTGCTGTTTGATATCTGGTTAAAAGATGATTTTAGAATGTTTTCTATGGAACATCAGAGGATTAGTAGTTTGGCAAATCCTATGTTAAGACACATATATTATATATATCGAGAGAGAGAGCTTCACTATAAATTATTATTTAATAATCATGTTATTTATTATAAACATGAGTTTTTAAATGATTATTTGTAGTAAACTTGAGTATGATCTTTCCCACATTCTTAGAATGTATTTTAAGGTATAGATTATCCAAACCCACATGATCTGTTTGCTTTGTTGTTCTACGTATTGTGTAGGAAAATTTATTCAGTGTATGGTATTTGTACGTGGTGATCAAATCATTATGCAGAAACTCCTTGATTTGTTGAATAAATATCAACTGTGCGATCATACATGTGGTGCGATCATTTCTTCAACCCAGTGGCGCTGGGAAGAAATGGATGTTGCGAATCAGGAGAGAAAATGCAACCACCACCAAACTAGGCTGTAGGCAGTGGAGAAGAACGGAGCAGAGAGGAGAGATCGTGCACGTGTTTTTGGATAAACTTCAAAGATTTTTTTTATTCAATGGGAAACATCTCAATATATTGAAATTACATTTCAAGATAAACATGGAATAATTTATTAACCAAATTCACCTTTAAAACTGAATATAGTAAATAATAAATATAAAATTATCCAAATTATTTTTGAATCAAATCTTAACACTTCCCCTTGATTCGAAAGTGCAAACACCAAGCTTCGATCGGAATGAATATGCTTGTCTCGAGGAAGTGATTTGGTCATGATGTCAGCAACCTGCTCATGCGTACTCCAATACTTTAAAGTTATTAAATTTATTGACACAAGATCTCGAATAAAGTGTACTCGAATATCTATGTGCTTTGCCCTTCCATGGTAGGTTGGATTCTTCAACATGTAAATCGCTGCGTTATTGTCACAAAAGATCTTAGTTGGTTCAGATTGGATTTTGAGCAAAATTTGCAAGAATATGACGTAGCCAAACTGCTTGACAGGTTGATGCTGTCGCTGCTACGTATTCAGCTTCAAACGTTGAAAGTGCCGTACATTCTTGCTTTTCAAACTCTAACATATCGAACCCCAAGGCTAAACACGTAACCAGAGGTGCTTCTTCTGTCCTCCAAACAGCCTGCCCAATCGTTGTCCGTATAACTGATCAACTTGAAATCGGATGCATGGCTATACCATAATCCAAATTGGACTGTTCCAGCAACATAGCGTAACACTCTTTTTGCAACACCAAAGTGATGTTGTGAAGGGGAATGCATAAACCTGGAAAGTACTTCCACCGAGAAAGCAATGTTTGGACATGTATGCGCCAAATAAATCAGTCCTCCGATCAAGCTTCTGAATTGTTTCTTGTTTGCTTGTCCAGAACCATCATCAACCTGTAACTTCTCATTCAAGTTCATAGGCGTTGCTGAAGCCTAACGATTCAACATATTAAACTTTTTCAACAAATCGACAACATACTTTTGTTGAGACACAAAAATTCCATCATCACTTTACTTCACTTTCAACCCCAAAAAATATTGCAACTTCCCTAAATCTGTCATTTCAAACTTTTTCTTCATGCGGGCTTTAAAATTGTCAATGAGAGAAGGAGATGAACCATATAAATCGTATCATCAATATAAAGGCAAATAACGAGAAAAATTATTTTTACCTTACTTCTTCACATATAATGTGGGCTCATTCTTTTTTAATTTTTTTACTATGCAACTTTACAATTTTGTAATAGTTTTATTATTTATAATTTACTCTGTATTTTTTAATTTTTGTATGATATTCTTTGTGGTTTATGTACCACACAATCTTTCCTTATTATTATTATTATTAAATAGTAGACATAGCGCCCTAAAGTGTAAATTTAATGGATTTATGGAGACTATTGTTGTTCGGCTAGTGTAATTGGAGAAATTTTATGCAATATTTTTTAAAATAGAAAAAAATTGTACATTTTTAAATTATGACGACGAATAATACAAACTTTTTAAATCACACGAGGTATAAGTAAAAACATATATATTTCTTGTGACATCCATCTGCAAGCCATGAGAAGTCGATCATGTCGGGATCGTAGACTGGCCCCACCAGTCAATACGAGTTCTTTCGGCGCTCTTCTGTCCTCACTCACACGCACCCTGAGAGACTTCTCACGGGGGTCACCCATCCTCACATTACTCTATTAAATTCATTTAACTTCTAAACTTTGGATGGCCTAATACCAGCTCATCCATGCACGGGAGTTGGCCCGGCAAACTCTGGGGGTATCATATCCTCCCCCACTTTAGAATGCAACGTCCACGTCATCGTCAACTGCTAGCCCGGAAAAGCCGAGCGTGTCGGGATTACAGACTCGCCCCACAGGTCAGCACGAGTCCTTTCAGAGCGGTCACCTATCCTCAAATTACTCTAGAGCAAGCACGTTTAACTCTAAAATTCTTTCAGTAGGGCTACCAAAAAGAAAAGTGGACATTGTTGATATGAGTATTTTATTCAATCCATTTAATCTATATTCAACCTCGGATGGCTGACACCGGCTCATCCACGTATGGGAGTTGGCCAAGCAACGCCCCACTCCGGAGTATCACATTTCTATAAAAATATTATACTCCTTTTGTCCTCAGTGTATGTATTTATTTACTTTTCGCACGTAAAATTTTTAATATTAGTAGTGTTATATGTATATAGTACAAAAAGATGTGTGAATAGTTAAATTTACTTAAAAAGGATATATGAGTTAAATAATGATTATAACATTTTTGTAATAGTGTGAAAGTTACAATTTTTTTTTTTTTAAAGATTTTAAATGAGAAATTATGAAAACATATATACACACATATATATTATATATATAATGTTTTGTTATTATAATTCTTTTTTTTTTTTTTTAAAGATTGGAATTGGTGTCAACTCTCAATTACCAAATTGAATGTCAACAATTAATAAATCATATAAAGTTAAATAATAATTACATAATTTGGTGAGAATGTAGAAAGTCTATAAGTCTATTGACAAATGGACTAAATATATTTCACAAAAGTCATGACAAAATCAACAAAGTGATTAATTACATATTATCCAAAAAGTGGTCCTTATAGTCACTCTCAATGTATTATTACATTATTCTTTACATTATCGCTGAAGTGATTTAGATTGTGTGTTTTTTATTGTAAGTTATATAAAAAAATAATTAAAAAAATAGATTGGAAAATGAAATTTTGTTTATATGAAGTATTTTTAATTACATTTTCATTTTATAGGAAAAATAATTTGTTTTTATTAAAAAATATTGGTATAGGTTTTGTTTTTGGTGTGTGTGAATTTTGTAAAAGATAAGAGAATAACCCAATGTAATTCTTAACAATATACAAGCAAAAGGTCGTGGTTTTATTAGTAATAAAAATTTAAATTTAAAAAATTATTTAATAAATAGATATTTGATATAATATTATAAATAAAAAATTGTAATGTATTAAGTAAAATTTAGTGTGATATTTTGGAAAAGAGAAAAAAATATTGTAAATCTACAGTGAAAATAACGGGTTTATTGATTTATATTTAAGTTTCAGGTTATAATTTTAAATTTGATTTAAATAATATTTTAATTTATATTTTATGAAAAAATACTCCATCCATTTCGACAAAGATGAGGTTTTTTGTTTAGACACATAAATTTAGGTAGTATAGATTAATTATTTACATAGTGAAAATTAGTTATTGAATGACTAAAATAAATTTAAAATATGTGTTTAAATATTTTTAATATTATATTTCAATAAAATATATATATTATATGTATATCATTTTATACGGAATAAAATTTTATATAATACAAATAAATAAAAAATAATATTTATTTATTTATCATTATTATAAATTAGTTTTATAAAAAAAAAGAAATTTTAAAAATAAATAAAAATATTTGTTAATGAAATAGAGAGACAGAAATAAAGGAAAGGAATTTTGACTTCTTCCCATGTGTAAGAGGTTGAAAATTAATTAAGTGCGTTTGTTTGGGGATTGGATTTTAAATACATTAAAAAACCATCAAATCAAACACCTATTTTTTATATTATACTAAAAATTAATATTTAAAACATCACATCAATACCTATTTATATCCCATCTTACTATTCAAATCTCAACTCAAAATCCAAACCCCAAACAAACACACCTTAACTTAAGCGTGTTTAGGATTGATCACAAAAAATATAAAAAGTGATCATCTGAAAAAAAATAAAAAAGAAAAATAGATCATATGTGGAGGACGGATGAAGTCTATTTTTATTTAAAATAAAAAATTGAACTATAGATGTTTTTATTTGAAATAATAAAAAAAAACCTCTTATTATAAAAGCCTAAATCTATCAAAATTTTATTGTATGTGTATAAAAGCAGTATAAAGAAATATTAGAGCCGACAATGGGTTAATTCGTGTCGGGTTGATTATTTTATACGGATTAAATTACTCAACCCTAATCCGACCCGTTTATTATCGTATCGGGTTCGTGTTACCCTGTTTATTATCGTGTCGGGTTCGGGTTGACTCGTGTTGTCCCATATACATAATTAAGTCTAATTTTTTGATTCAACTTAAATAATTTTTTTTTGTCGTGTTATGTTAGTTTTTATTGGTTTGAGCGTAAATTAGGTTGAATTATTTAAAATTAAACTTAGTTTAAATTAATTTATGAAAAAATTATTAAATTATGATTATTTTATATATATAATAAATATATTAATCAATATTAATATATTATAATCGGATTGTCATGTCGGGTTCGAGTTGAGAGTCTCAACCCTAGCTCGACCCGTTTATTATCGTGTCGGATTCGTGTCAATCCGTATATATAATCGGGTTGAAATCTTTGACCCAAACTCAATTATTTTGTATCGGGTCATGTCGGATCAGTTTTTGCCGGCTCTAAGAAATACACATGCATAAAATATTGGATTTTCGTATGGGTAAATATCTTTTATATTCATAAAACAATAAAACATTTAAGGTAAAATAGATACTTTGTGTTATATAAATAAGTGGTAGATGAGATGTTTAAATAAAAAATAATTTTTATGCAATATTTTAAAATAATAAATAGATATTGAATATGAGCTTGTTTCTTTGGGGATTTTTTTTTTTTGTTGTTTGAATTTGATATAAATAATGGATTTGTTCG